GTCGAGTGTGCGTGTGGTGGCGTTTCGGTGTTGCCTGGAGTCCCAGCCCCTCCCCAAATGTTCACGGAGAGGAGATGAAAAGATCTCTTCGTAGATTATGGGTAAGCCTGGGCTTGCTGGCAGGAGCTCCCTCTTCGTAGGAAGCAGGTGTAAAGTCTCCAGTCGGATGCAGAGCTCGGGCGGATGGATGCTGAACATTTCTTGTAAACATGTGTACACATCATGATGGCGGTTGTGACGTTGGTGGCACACGATTTTAAGAGCCTGGCACCCCTCCCCCCACATCCTTCCCCTTCCCACCCCTCGTCGTCACTGAAACAACAATTCTGTGTATATTTCTTCTGGACTGTAGCTTAGCCGTTAAAGATAAGAGAGTTGATCTGAATTAGTGCACAGTGAGGAAGAGCAGCGGTCCATGTGCTGTGTGTGTAGCAATGCACATGTGTGTGTGCAGGCAGCCATGCACATACGCCGTGCTTTGGGGACAGCAGGCAGCAGACCTCTTGCTGGAGTTCCCCTAAGGGTAGGTGCATGGACAGTTGTTAGAGATGGACCAGGGTGGGTGGGGCCCTTGGTGCCCTGTGTGTTGGGGAGTCGCCAGCCAGGTAAGGCCCTGCTGAAAGCTTGCCGCAGCTGGGGGCTTGCTGGCTGCTTGGTGGGGCCTGTGTTCACGATGTCTTTCCATTTCTGTCTTCTGCCCCAAATTCCTTCCTAGCGAAGCTGAGCCATGGGGAAGTTTGTCTTGGGATCAAGTGCTTCCCCCTTCACTTAACAATGATGTCCATTATTGTTTGTCAAGCCTGATTTCATTGCTTCTAAATGCATTTACCAGCTGGGAGGAGGCCTGGCCTTGTAAATAAAATGTGGTTTTGTTGTAAGAGAAAATCTAACTTCTGTGTGTGTGTGTGTGTGTGTGTGTGTGTGTAAATACAGATTTGTCCCTGCACTTTAGATTTTAACATTTCAGAATCCACCCCAGCCCTCTGATATCTGACATTCGAACAAGTTGCCTGCTGCATCCATTCATTTTTCCTCTTAATGAGTCAAACATTTTAGCAATTGCTCTACTTTATTCGGCTCATAATATATTGAGAGCAGCAATATTTTGCAGGCCTGCCTGACACTTGGGGAGCTTTTCACGAAAGCAGAAATCATCTCAGAGGAGAACTTCATCTTGGCTTTATTTTTGTAAGGCCGGAGTTTGCTGGACGAGGCTGCCTGAGGGGCTGGTTTGTAGGGTCTGGGAATTTGAAAGGCTGTTCTCATGGGTCTTTTTCCTGTGCTTCTTCGTCTCTGGGTGGCAGGTTGGACCGCTCTGCCTGTAAGAACAGAGGCCTGGTTCTCTGTGGCTGTGCAGAGCCGGGAGACTCAGGTATCCATAGGGCAGAGAAAGAAGGGTGTCACTGTGCCCTTGCCAGGGCTTGGACAAATGTTTTTCTCCCTTGATTTCTTCCATTACTGATACAGCTCTAAGAAGGGTCACACACACTCATACACAGGCGCCCTACACGCCCAGCTCGGTATCTGCCTGCCAGCGGAAATGAAACCACAGTCTTTGGGAGTGTCTATGAAGGCCTTGCACATGAGCTTTCAGGCCCAGTGAGCTGCCTTGATCTACTTGCTCTGACCCAGAAATCTGGGGTTTGGGGTGACTCTGCTGCCTAATACTGGAGCAACCTTGCTACCTTCCTGGGAAGCCTTGCATATAGCAGGCCAAGGCGCAGCCCCACAGCCTGGGTCGTGGGGAGAGGAATCCCCATTCTTTGGAGTCGGGTGAACACCCTGTCATGTCAGGGGGTTTGACTTTCAATGCTGAAAGTGGGAAGGGAAGGAGACTTTTGTTTGTTTCTTTTCCTCCCAGACTGCCTTAGAGGCAGTGAGTTGGATGGCTGGTCTGGGAGGTGGAGATCCCAGCTCAGGGCTGAGCCCTGGAGCCCTGGATAATCCCGGGCTGTCTCGGGGACGCCAGCAGGGCCTGGTTCCCAGGTTGCTTGGCTGCTAGGACTTGACGCAGAAATCAGAGCCGCAGCACAGCAAATGGCTTTGGACACCTTCAAACTCAATGACGGGGCTTGCAGAGCTGCTGCATGAGGAAAGGGAGAAGGCAGAGACTGCCAAACGAAGGAAAGAATACCAGATGTTACCAAAAATTAAAAAAAAAAAGGAGAGAAAGGAAAAAGTGCTGGTACATCGTCTTGGCAAAAGAGGGAGCTGGGAAGGAGGGGTGCTTGTGAACAGGCATGTGTGACCTCTGCTGATTTTTAAATTCGTCGGCATTTCTTTTGAATTAGAAAGTGAATATGAAATTAGGTGGCTGAAAACCTCCTAGCAGAGAGGAGCTATTCAGGCTTGCTAGCACTCCTACCCAGGAGGGTGGACGAGGCTGAAAAAGTTAATAAAAAACAAACAGAAAAGTCAACCAAAGGATAAATTTAAAAAAACCGAGAAAACCTCTTCGGCCTCAGAAAGGACGATCAAGCTGGCCATGTGGATTTGTTGTTGTTTGTTTCTATCAGATCCTCTATTGCTGCAGGAGTTTGCCAGGCCTGCCCAGGGTGGCATTTAAAATAGTACCAGGTACCGCACCTTGCTCGCTTCCTTTGAATTCTCAATTTCATTATGTCCTTTTTTTTTTTTTTTTTTGCTTTTCAGCTCATTTCTTTTGTGCCTCTCTGTCTATTTTTTAACTAAACAATATTTTGACATCCTCCTCCCATTTATTAGAGCGCCTTCTGTAAAAATGGCGCACAATACATCCTTATATTTCTAAAGAACTGTTCCTACAGCTCTCCCCTTTGGCTCTGAAATTATGTATATGTAATTGGTAATTAAAGGTGCGAGCTTTTCAATATAAACAGTATTGCTCAATGTTAGATCATTAAAGGGAAAAAGAGGCACCAAATAATTACCTTTTCCATTCTGACAAACCGTTCACAGGAATCCAGTCTCTCCTAGAACCTCTGTTCAGAGGGAAGGTTGTGATTACGTTTTAACCATAGCAAAGCATCTTTTCATAAAATAAGTTGGTAAATTAATTACGTGGCATTGTCTTCAAACCCCTTTTTAAGTAAACTCCGACTTCTTTTTAAAGTGTAATTAATGGTTTCTGGGACGGGCTTTGTGAGGACTGCTGCTTTACCTTACAGGTTATTTTTGTTAGATGCAGACAACAGATTTAGGATTTCCTCGTCTGTGGGGCGTTTTTGTGCTGCCACATTTCTGATGTATTCTACATTTAATTCGTCGAGGGCTCTGTCTGCTTTTCTGTAACCACAGGTGGGATCTCAAATTGTAGTTTCTCTTCTCAGCGCTACCTACATCGCTACCTATCCTCGCGGAGTTCATAGGCGTGCGTTGTACGTCACGCCTCGTCGTATATTTCGTATTCAGTTTCACACAAGGACTCTCCTAGGCCCTGCATCAGCTCGTGTTCAGAAAATAGAGAACAGTGATTTATGTGTAGGATGGGAGATGCCACAGAATTTTTTCCTTAAATTATCTGTTCTTTGGCTCTGGCACTTCAATAACTTCACTGCCACGGAATGCATTTTCCTCCCTCCCGTTCCTTTTCGCCGTTCCTCTGTGGTTTTCATTATCCTTTCCTAAATACCATACAACTCAAAATGTACCTGCCTCCTCGGGTTTCAGACCTTTGGCTGCCCTCTGGCTTCTCTGAAGACCCTGCCACTCGTGCCTTCTCTGCAACTACTGACATTTGCTCTTGAAAAATTCCAGCCTGAATTTGCTCAGACCCCGAGGGGAATATGAAACGTCCAGTGTCCACTGCTCTTTATTTATGACACTTTCGGCTGCCGAGTCTTCCAATTTTCCCTTGAGGAGGTTGCTGCTTTTTGAGGCATTTATTAGCTTCCAAATAGTTGGGTCCTAGACCTCCTACCCTTCCAGCAACCACACCCCCACCAAAAAACAAACAAACAAACAAGCAAAACAAAACTCAAATCTATCCGCTGCTAAAGAAATATAAAAACATACAGTCCGTTGAAAGTGTGGTTTAATATCTTCCAAGAATGCTTTTGGAGTCTGGAGAATTTTCTTTCTTTCATTTTTCTGGGAGTGAAAATCAGAGCAGCCAACAAAAAAGGACAGTGGGGAGTGGATAAGTGTGGGGAAATCGACAGAGAAATGGAAGTCTGACCGGGCCCCGGGTGCTTGGCAGGAGAGCCCGCTTCCCAGCTCTGCAAGCCGGTTCCAGCCTCCCTTCTGCTGCACTGTTTTCTCCTTCAATATTTTTTTGGAACCTGACACTCACTTGTTGCTTTCCGAGCATGTGGGCTTCCTTCCCTCCTAAGGACTGGCCCTCTGACGCCCATCTGGGTTTCTGTTTTCTAGTTTGGTGTGTGGCCAGTTCCCAGGTAGAGGAATGTGAGTGGGACTTGCATGAATGGGGAGGACATGAATGAAGGTGTCAGGAACAGGAGGGTGGTGCTCCAGCCCAGCAGGGGAAAAGGGCTCCAGCTCCCTGGTTCTCAGCCCTGGATGCCCATTGGAACCACCCGGGGAGTCTGAAAGAATATTCCGATGTTTGGTTCCCGGTGTCATTGGTCAGGGATGCTGCCTGGGCCTTGGGATTTTTCGAAGCCTCCAAGTGATTCTCAGATACTGAAAACTTTGAGACTCATTACGACCTGATGCTGTCAGCAGCCAGAGTGTGTGTCTATGTGTGCCCATCCGGGTGTATTCTTATACTATATTGGGAAGAAATTGGCAGAAAATAAACTAGAGTGCAGTAAGATCAGCACCAATTACATGACAGTGTCCAGGGGGCCTGACGTTGCTCCTAGAGACTCGGTGTGGCCATCTGTCCCATGGGGGATGCTTACCTGTCCCCAGCCCCGGGGAGGACCTGGTGAGCTCTGGCAGCCGGCAGCGGAGGGGGCTGCTTCTCGGTGGGGAAGGGGTGGACCGGATGTCGGGTGCTGTGACCTCCTAAGCCCATCTCTATCTTCTCTGCCCCTTCCCTTTCTTCTTTCTGTCTCCAGCAGAGGCTGACCATGTGGAGGCCGCCATCCTCGAAGAAGACGAGGGTCTGGAGATAGAGGAGCCAAGTGGCCTGGGGCTGATGGTGGGTGGCCCCGACCCTGACCTGCTCACCTGTGGCCAGTGTCAAATGAACTTCCCCTTGGGGGACATCCTGGTTTTTATAGAGCACAAAAGGAAGCAGTGTGGCGGCAGCTTGGGTGCCTGCTATGACAAGGCCCTGGACAAGGACAGCCCGCCGCCCTCCTCACGCTCTGAGCTCAGGAAAGTGTCCGAGCCGGTGGAGATCGGGATCCAGGTCACCCCCGACGAAGATGACCACCTGCTCTCGCCCACGAAAGGCATCTGTCCCAAGCAGGAGAACATTGCAGGTATGGGACGCTGTGCTTGCTGGTTGCTACAGAAGCCACCTCCCGGGTCCCACGCCCTCTGCTTGAGTGTGCTGGTGCAGGGGAAGACCCAGGAGCTTCCAGGATGGCCTCTGGGCTGCCAGCCAGGGCTCCCCCTTTCTGAGGGTCCACCATCCAGGTGACCTTCAGGAGGAGACAGGCTTGGGGCTTGGGGAGGCCCAAATAGCTGATGGCTGCTTGCTTTTGGTGAAGGGACTCTGTCTCGGGGGCTAATCCAGAGGTGGTCAGAAGCACAGAATGGAAATTTGGAAGTCCGGTTGGCCCTCTCTTTGCTACTGATCTCAGCTTAGTCCATGATTTTGAAGCTAGACAGACAGTCTTGGGTTAGAATTTGTCTTCACAACTTGGACATGTCAGTTTGCCCATCTATGAAATGGAGCTAAGGAAACCCACCTCATTAGGGCTGCTGTGAGGATCAATGAACTGTTGCATGTGGCATGACTGGGTAGGGACTTACAAATGAGGGTGCTCGTTTTCTCCCCTCTCCTCTCCCTCTGGACTCAGTTTCCTGTGTGTGGAAAGAGAAGTTAGGCCTTTGATCTCAGAGACTGCTTTTGACATTGCCTGACCCTAGGGGCCGGTCCCAGGTGGGGGTGTGGGAACTTGTTGGGGCACTGTGGCCGTTGGAGGAGGTTGGCCATGCCCTTTGACATGCTCACTCATTCGACCACTGGGACAGCTGGTTTTACCACCTTGAGAACAGGTCTAGGGCCCCTCTGTCCCCAGGCATGGCTCTGCTCGCCGCACTGGGTTAGCATGAAGTCCCTCCCTCTTGGCCAGCACCATGGCATGCTGGGGCCTCCTCCAGGGAGCCACTGCTTTCTGTGCAAACCGGTGTGTTTGCTTCTGGTTTATACTTCTGAGGCCAGGAGGCCTGGGGGAGAAAGGAGGGCCCGGCCAGCCTGGGTTCCCTCAAAAGCAGTAGCCCATCTTGGAGCAAGACGGGCATCAGAGTTTATGCAGACGAGTCTTCCAGCCCTGATGGTTGACTTTGGCTTAGCCACTTCATGGGTCTGAGCCTCAGTTTCCCCATCTGTCAACAGAACGTGGATAATACCAGCAGGCCTGGTGTGAGGATTAGATGAGCAGGGGCTCTATCAGTTTTTTACCAGCGGCCCTTCTTTCTCGGGGGTCTCCTGGTTTTGTGGCGTGCGAGTAGGTTGCTGGCTGGGGAAACAAGGGCGTTGATCACACCTGTGCTTCTATCATGGAGGCCAGCATGGGCTCTGGAGGGACTCAGGCTTTGGATGCTTCTAGGAGGGCAAGACAGATGGGCGTGGGCACTTGTCAGCACCCGTCGCCCTGGACACAATCAGATGCCACAGCATGTTTCCCCCAATCTCCAAAGCTTTGTGATGCTGAGCCTCACTTTGCCCGCCTGTACACGGGGCTGAGTGAGCCCTCTTTCTCTTGGGGAGACTGTGGTGGTATACAGATTCCTGCAGCCTCGTGCCAGGCACTGGGGAGACCCCAGTGGATCGGTTTGGCCTCTGGACCTTGCCTTCTGATGGGTGCCTTAGTGAGAAGTCTCTCAGACGCCTTCCAAGATGCAAGGGGCTTTGAGAAAAATCTCTGACATGTCCAGGCCTCAGGCATGTCAACACTGGCTTCTCAGAGTGCTGTGTACACTCTAGCAGCGTCTCTTCACCAGGCTGAGCCATCAGGCGAGAGAGGGGCTGGGTCCCTTTTGTCTGTGTGGGCCGAGACTCCAGGGACAGTTTCACCTGTAGTATCAACGCCTGGCCTCGGTGCACCTAGACTTTTAGGGGGTGGCCTTGCCAGGGAGACTCGGGCCCCCTATGTATGTTTCAATGGTAAGATTTGTGGCTTTTGCCAGAAACATCCAAATCCTCATTTCGTATTGGAGGCTGCAGAGCACTGTGGCAGGTTTGTTCAAGAAAGTGACTAAATGTGATTTCATAAAAGGCAAAATTAATCTCCAAGGCAGCTTTGTCCTCATCCTTCCACCCCCTGGCCCCCCTGGTTTTTTTTCCGGGTTGTGATACTGCAGCAGCCTACGGTATTTTTATTTTATGTGTGACGAAAGATATTCTTGGCCTTTCTGTTCAGCAACAGGACGAATGGATTTCTTCATTCTGGAAGAAATATGTAAAATAATCCCTTAGAAGTCTAAAGAGATATGTTTGTTCAAAGCATTTAAAATGTTATTTTAATCAAAGGCACAAAACAGTCTACATGCTGTGTCAGCTGAAGACGACCATCCTATTTTAACAGCACGTCATGTGCCTGCCTTTCTAGTTCCCATTTTTCCCATTTCCCCTGCCTACTTGGGCACCAACTTTTCTTTTCTTTTTTTTATTTAATAAAAAGGAAAGATTAAAGAATAAAACTTCAGTGGCTCAAATGTATAAAGTAATTTAATATGGTGGGAGCATTAATTATTTTAGCTTAATTGAATTCTGAGGACTGCAGTAGTTGCATTTTTGTAGACAAGCCCTGTTTATTATTTCTCTGTGTAGATTAACAGTAAAGGAAACACAGATAACTTTCAGTTATTTATTGTAAAATAAATGTGTCAATTCATGTGTAAAGCAAGCTGCTCAGAGATAATTGAGTCTTTATATTTTAAGAGAGGGACTAGGCATCACGGGCACTTCTCTGCCCGGGCTTCCGGAATCCCGTCCAGCTGCTGCCCACGCTCCTGGCCCCCGGGCCGGCTGGTCCCCAATGCTCCTGCCTCCCGGTCAGGGCTCCAAGCAGTCCTCCAGCCCCTCCATGCCCTGCTGTTGTCTCCAGGGCCCCGCTGGCCCTGGCCAGTAGCTGGTGAGTGGGTGGCTGCTAATTCTTGGACTCTGCCTCTGGCTTTGGCTGTCCAGGCTCAGAGGAGTACAGGGTGAGGTGGCCTCGAGGGTCCTGGTGGCCTTGAGGGTCCCGCCTTTCCCAGGGCCAGCAATCTTCCCAATGCCCAGGCAGGTCCCCACCCTTCCTTGCTACCAGGCGCTTCTAGAAGTGGGGACTCCAGAGACAGACCCGAAGGGGGTTCCTCTCACCCTTAAGGGAGACCCCAGGGTGAGAACCGCACGGGGGCTCTGTCAGTCATCACACTGTGGTGTGGACCCCATATCAGCCATTTCCTTGGGACAGTCATTCTGGAGATTAATTACGATTTTTTTTTTTTTTTTTTTTTTTTTTTTGGTAAATGATAGAGAAATAGGAAGGTAGACGGAGAAAGTTTCTGAAGCTTTGTTTTCTGGAGGACATTCATTCATTCATTCAGCAACTGAGCACCTGGGGCCCTTTTTCCACCCTGGGTGTCCCCACCTGGCTCCCCAGGTGAAGCTCCCAGGGGAGGGAGTGGGCGTCGCCGTGGGGATAATGGGCAGAGTGTGAGCTGGCAGCAGGCCTGCTCTTGGGTACATTCTGCTCCTGGGTCCAGGGCCTGGCTCCCTGCTGAGCACTCCAGTGGGCAGAGGAGGTCCTTGGAAGCTTGTTGCAGGCCTGTCTGGGGATGGGGGGGAGTTGGTCAGAGGCGGGGTCTTTGGCCAGTGGTCTGACTCAGGGCAGCTACGGAGCCTCTGATACATCGCTGCCTGTAGGTTTGCAGTCTTCATGTTTCTTAAGGTTCCTGCCTGTGGCATCCTCCCTATCTCTGTGGGGGTTCGGGGGAGCAGAGGACCCGTCCATCGGGGAAGCTGAGAGGTGTTCCAGCGTTTGCAAAGAGCACGTGGTGGTGGCAAGGCGTTATCTGGGAGGGGCGTTTTGAGGACGGGTGAGGAGAAAGGGGCTTTCAGGGTGTTTGGGGTTTGAAGGCTGCCTGCTGCCATGTGGGAAACAACACAGCTGGAGCCCCATGTTGCTCCCTGCCAGCCTTGGGCAGAGACTCAACCTCCCGAGCTGCGGTTTCCTCATCTGTCATTGTGACATTTATGATGAGTGCCTGGCACACGGTGGGGGTAGGTGTGCTGCAAACAGGAGCTTTTCCTGGCCCTCGGCTTTCCCTCCTCTGACGCATTTTCGGGCGTTAGAGCAGCTTGCACCGGTCTCCTCGGCACTGGGCTCCGTCAGGGTTGGGACAGATGTCCACTGAGTTGTGGGACTAACTCCACCATGACAGGCAGCGTCGGCACGGGGAGACCCTCTCCCCCAGATTCTGTCTTTTGTTAGGCAGCTGTCCCTTGAGGATCTCTTTGCAGGCGGTGCAGTCTGCGGGGGCCGGCTGGGGGTTTCGGGGTGAGGGAGCACAGGCTTCGGTGTCTCCTGGTGGAACCCCAGCCCGTCACTCACTGCTGGCCACCCGTGAGTCGCTTCACTTCTGGGCCTCCGTTTCCCCGTCTGCACCTCCTTTTCAGGGTTATGCTGAGGATGGAATGAGGAAGCACCTCTCTGGCACAGCTTGGGCCTGAGGCAGATGATCGAGAAGTGGATGCTTCTAGAAAGCCAAGCACAGGAAAATGTGGGCCCTGCTTGGCAGCAGGCCGAGTGCTTGCTTTTCTTGGTCAAAACCATGAAAACTTACCTGGGATCTCTCTCACAGTGATTTCCTACAGGTTCCTCTATGTAATTCCTGCTTGGTAGTCACCGAAGGAGACGCTTGATCACCGGGAATTTGGTTTTGCCTGTTACTAGCCTTTCCATAACCAAATGAAGCTACAGAGGGAGGAATGAACTATAAGCTGTCATTTAACCGCCTGCCTCCCTAATCCTCCAAGTCCCAAATGTCAGTTTTCTGGAGAAGTGCGGAGACAGGCAGCAGGTGACAGGAGGTGACACATCCCCCTGGGCTTGGAGGTGGCAGGCAGCCCTGCCCACTTTAGATGTCTTCATCGGAAACCCAGGGAGGACCAGGGATGTACCTGGCAGATTCCCGTAGCAGGTAGGGGCACAGGGACTGGTTTGACTTGGGGTCCCAGTCACCCATTGCTAAGCAAAACGTGTGAGAGAAAAGGACTTCTCATGGGCCCAGGGATTTACATGCTGCCTTGAGAATGTTCACTCCAGAC